CTTACAGATACTGGAGCTCCTGCTGCCAAAATACTACATAAACTACTGTTAAGGTTGGGCCATAACATTTGCCCAACCAATGTTCATCATTTTGAACAATGACGCATCATACAAATCATATAATCAACAACTGGCTGTCACTACTTGCAGAAACAACAAAAGACGACAGGAAGTGGTAGGAGGATGACGGTGCAGTATTTCATGTTAAACTGTGAAATTGAGATCTTTTCCAACATTAACTGAAGATCGAAAAATTTTTGATGGAAATGCAACTAAAGTAAACATGTATGGACTGATTTGCAGAGAAGTCCAAAAGTACAACTAATTTTGATTGGTGTCAAAAAACTAATTGTTTTTTTTTGACAATTAGTTGTCAAAAAATACAAAGCCACCCCAAGGCTCTACAGAAAACCATTATGATGATGACACTGTGATGAATCAGAGTACTTCCAAATGTCTGTGTGATCTTCAGACATCCGTGCCAGGTGTGTGAGTCCAACAGACTGAATATTACATCAGCATACCAACAGTGAGCTCATCATACTTAAATTACAATTACTACATTCACACACCTATTTTGGGATGATGATTATGCACCCACAGAAAACACATCCAACGATTTTAATAGCTCCTACCATTTTTTAAACACTGATGCCAAGATGTCAATGAAAATGAAGGAAGAAGAACCAGGGAGTTAAATCTGACAGTGAATAGATAGTTAAATTCTCCAATTTCTGCACAAATTGAGCCTAGATAGCAAAGCTGCACAATCATTTGAAAATGCAACCAGAAATGAGTCTCAATGGGAAAATGACCCAACATTAAGCTACATTGTGCTGATCAAAGCCTATCAAATGATACAAATGAAGGAAAAATTGTATTACTTACATCAAACGCATGTTAATATTAGGATCATTCTCACAAGCTGGAACTAAAAATGCATTCAACTTAACCTTCCTTAGGTATAAGTTATCACTTACATGTAGAGGTAAGACTGATTACTACAGGAGAGCTGCATGGATTTGGTAGGAAGAAATTACAAACAAAACAAACTGCAGCTATGATTTTGTCTGAATGTGCCACACATTTCAGGCTGAGTTTGCAGAGCTGGGCTTTTTGCTACAGTGAGTCCACATGTGACAGAAGAACGTGTTGTGTTATAATGAGCCCAGCAGTTCCCAAACGGGATTTATTCAGTTTGGGTTTGCAAGATTAAAAAGTTTGAGAACCTTTGTTCCAGACTAATCAGGCAACCGTGGCTAATCTAATCACACGAATGATCTCACCGCTCTCAGCGGCAAATCACACACAAACTCTGGATCTTTTTTATTATAATCATCATTATTTTGAAATTCACTTCTCTGATTCATCACATCATAGTTGAAATGTTCCTAGCATTGCACATCTGAGTCCCAGCTAGACCCGGAAGCATCCTGGACGATTTGAAGGACAGTCGTGAGGCTTTGGGGCTCCACCAGCTGACATATGGGCCACAGGGTGTGATCTAGCAAGAGCGGCCATGCATCTGCCTTACATTTAATCACGTTCTGCTGGACAAGATGCTGCAGCCCTTCAAGCAAAGCTAACAGTTATAGCCCAAAGAACAAGTGCAACATGGTTAATCATTTCTTACAAAATGAGGGGGTTGTTGTGCGCAGAACGCCACTCTGGCAAACGGATACCCAGCTTTGAGCCTGATGAATTAATCGGCTCAAGAAGGAGGAGAGGGGACCTTGTGACCCCCCTGTTACACCCGAGGCGAGGTGGGGGTTGGACGCCAGCCTAAAACTGGTGCCAACACAACCTAAGATTAAAATTAAAACTAAGAGATAACAACAGGCAGACGTAAGGTTGGTGTAACTTACTAACTTGCACAAAAATGATTCATTTGTTTCTGCACTGGCTTAACCCTTTATTCAAATTGTGGGTTAAATGTTTCCCAAATTCCTTATCAATCTAGTTTATTTGTATAGCAAATTTCAGCAACAACATAAATACACAAAAAGTCATAAAAACATCAAAGCAGTAACAAACATTTAATTTTGTCAGATGCCATCATCAACACACATCAAATATTTTGGTCAATGTTTCATTAAAAACCCAACTCTATGCAGGTGGGTTCATTTGGATTGAAAGGTTTTCAGTGTTTCAGCAGCTTTGCAGTTTTCTAGAAGTTCCTTCCAGATTTTTTTGTGCATAGAAGCTGAATTCTGCTTCCCAGAAGACCTGAAGGGTTGATACAACAAATATAAGAACATGAAACAAACACCCAGAATGGAAAAGAAATTAGCCATTTCTTTTCCACTCCTGTTTATTTCCAGAGCTTATGCTGAAGCTTTGATAGGACAAAAACCTTCCTTGGTTTCCCTAAAGATAGGATAAATTTTTTAATCAACTGTATGATCTGTTAATTAATTAATGTTTATAAGTAGAAATTCTCTAGAGAAACAAATAGACTTTTCCAGGTAACATCTGCAGGTGCATAGTTAACAACAATCACCCCACTGATGCTAACTTAACAGCTTTGTCCCTACATTTACCTTTTTGGGTATGAAATGTATAAAATCTACTGACGATGGTTCAACTGAAAGCCACCAGAAGAATATTTCACACTGGCTTTGACAACTTAACAAAGGAAGTGTTTGTTACTCCAGTACAACTTATCCATCAGAAGAAGATCACTTACAGGAGGGCTGTAAAATATTTTGATATAATTGTGATTTCAATTAAGATTACCCCCATTTCTTTTACTTTTCACCATAAAACAATGTCCCATGACAACATTAAAGGCACGCAGAGTCCATCCAACTGCAAAATATTATCTGATACATCAAGTACAACATTCCACCCAATACTACGTACAAGACAGTCTCTGTGGTTATGATATTGTGTGCACTTATGTTGCAACGGCAGCTGTGATTAGATTCAGGGTAGTAATCTGAGATACTTTATAGAAGTAACTAAACTGGGGTAAAAACAGTCACTGGGAATAGGGTATGACAAGGTTTTCAGATGATAAATCAAATTAACTTGTTTTGAACAAGTTATTTCCCTAATTCATAAAAACAACAAATAAGTAGTAAAGGGTTTGATTACAGTTAGACATGATATGAGGAAACAAACTGACCTACAATCATGAGAAAGTTCAAATAATTTGTTTTTACCTTTAAATCTTTTGCTAGCATCCCTATCTACAGCTAGCTGGTGTCAACCTGTAATTCATGGGTATTCAACACAAGTCCAGTAAGCCAATTTCATTACAGCTCTGCTTCCTAACATGTTGCAGAGTCAAATTATTACTGGCAGCTCACATCAACCCAGCTGATGTGGTTAAGGACAATGCATGGACAGGAAATCTCATCTTCCACAATTTGTCCTTTCAGCCGTCCCTACCCAGGTGTTAGCATTTACACACCAGCCATTTGGTAATACTTTAAGCTTTTATTTATTTACACAACGAGACCTAAAACCCTCTCTTGGTTCGTCGGCCATTGCGATGCCACTGCTAACACAGACATTGGTTACTGTGTCAGAAACTTGACCTTATATACAACTACTGTGATGAATACAAGGACAATTCATAGCAAAAGGTATTCGTAGTATCCTGGTAAACGCAGTTGTGTACCTGCTAACGAGCTAGCTGGCAAAAATCTGATAAATCAGTGCCGACTTTGACTCAACTACACGCATTTCTAACAATAAAACCAAAAAATGCCAAATAAAGCACCGATTTATATAATAAAAATTTGGATGATTATAGTAAGCGTAACTGTCAACTTTGGAGGGATAAGGCTGTTAGCTACTCCACAGATACAGTTGACGGCGGTAGGTAAGCTAGCAGCTAGCTACATGTATTTAATTTATTTCAATAAAATACACAAAGCTGAAATGTACATTATTAACTCTAATATGTGTAGTCTGCTTCAGCAACTCAGACAGAGTTAACATCCAAGGCCTCACGACGACTAGTGTAAATACGCCGGTTTTTCAATGGAGTCTGGCGGTGCTTCGTACGGAGAGGACTTTACCACCGAGTTAACCACGCTGCCCACAAACACCACCTGACTTTATCTAACCCCCTCGGTGTCCGCCACTGGCAGCTATATTCCCCCCACAGCAGAGGCCCCACAGGGCCGCGGCCTCTCGTACAGGTCTCCTACCTCTGTGGGCTGGCTGATCTCGAACAGGTCGAGCCGGTTGGCGTTCCAGTGGTTGATGATGTCGGCCAGTTTCCTCCTCTCCTCCTCCCTGCTCCCCGACATTGTGGACAGCGTTTCGGAGCCTCAGTCCGCGTCCGTTCCGCTGAATAAAAATAATAATTTAAAAAAAACTTCCCGAAACGTTAGTCCACCGGAAAACAAACCGCCAGCGAAAGCCAACCGTTCACGTCGACTTCTTCCAATTTTTTTTATTTAATTATTTTTTCTACAGCCGGTACTTTGTATCCCAGCTCATCGACCGACCTGCTGTCTGAGCCGTTTCTGCTTCGCGTTCGCGGTGCACCTCAGCGCGCTCCCGCTGAGTCCGAGAACGCGCGCTGGCGCTTAACTATTTAATGCCCAATAATTCTGATTCATGACGCCGCTTCCCGGGATGTTTAGAGTTAACAGCAGGCACGTGAGCTACTAAGCAGGATTACGTCATCGAGAGTTAGTTAAAGTGATATTTCCCCAGAGCATGTTCATATTTAATTTAAAGTCTCAATGAGCATTCTTCTTTTTATTAAATACAAATCTATAAGAAATATACATATATTATATTTACAAGGTTATAAAATAAATATATTTTTGAAAAAATAAAAAACAGCTACATTTAAAGCTACTCCATACAAATTTCTATCAAATCTGTGAACAAATGTGAGTAAAAACTCTACTCAAGTAAGAGTAGCACTCCTTCAAAATATTTTTACTCAAGTACAAGTAGCCATCCAAAAAATTATTGCAACAAAGAGCAAAAAATGTACTAACTGATCAAATTATCAATCATTTAATATTAAAAAATACATCTTCAGACGGACTAAATTATAAAAATAAGTGGAAATGTTGGGTTTTTTTAAAGACAAAAATGACTATAATTCATACAAGTAACAAAAAATAACAAAATCAGGCAAAAGAAAATGTTTCTAAATCAGTTTCTTTCACCAAAAAACATATGAAACTTTAATAAAAACAACAGGTGTGTGTCTGTGGTGTTTTGTTTATCACTTATTGGGTAGAATCCAGAAATTTTACTCAACCAAGAGTAGCTATACTTCATAATAAAACTACTCAAGTAAAATGTAAAGCACTTTGAGCTGCCTGTTGCTGAAATGTGCTTTCCAAATAAACTTGACTGTTGGGGGAAATCCTGTAGTGGAAATCTGCACTTCATGATGTTACTGTAAAACAATTAAACTAAAATGCATTATCCTTTTATATCACTTATAATTAGGCAAACAAAACAGTTTAATTTAATTACAGCAGCAGAGATGAGTGGTTTTGTCATCATATTGTAGCCACTTGCTAATTGGTGCTAGCTTACAGGTGCTAAATGCCACAAACAGCTGCTAAACCCCTCTGCCTCAGAATAGGAAGTATTATATTCTAGCTTTATTTTAGCTTCATGCCTGTCTGAACTGAATATATAATTTGATATTTGTTGCCAGACGTATTTGTGGGGGGGTGGGGGGAAGCGAAACATTGAGACCAATATGCAATTATTCAATTAGCGGCATAATTAACTGAAAATAATAGAAGGGCAATTTTGTTTACAGAGACCTGATAATCCATTTTATTTATGATTTTGATTGTAAGTGATTTTTATTTTTGTTTTATTTATTGTTTTTGGTTGTCATGTTTTATTTTGGATATTTAAAATATCTTCCAGTTCCAGTGTTTGGTGTTCTTTACAATGTTAACTTTTATTGGTATTCCAGATTGCAAACTTCCACTTTTATGTTGTTCAGTCAGAGATCAGACCTGAAATCTGTAATTTTAATCGACATTATGATGTTTTTATGACGTAAAGCAATTTGAAATGCCTTGTTGTTCGAATGATCTATACAAATAAACCCAAAAATAGTACTCAAGTAAGAGTAGCACTACTTCAACGTATTTTTCTCAAGTAAAATTAAAAAGTAGCAATTAAAGAAATTACTCAAGTAAGAGGAAAAAAGATGGCAAAAGTCAATTGATCAAATTATCAATCATTTGTTATATAAAGATTGCATAATCAGAACCAAAATATGAAGTTATGTGGAAATTTAGGTATTTTAATGGTAAAAATGACAATAATTCATACAAGTAGCAAACAATAATAAAATCAGGCAAAAGAAAATGTTCCCAAATCAGTTTCTTTCAATAAGAAAACGTATAAACTTTAACAGAAACTGCCGGTGTGTGTCTGTGTCTGGTGAATATTTAGTTAAAGCATGTTTGTTTTTCATTAAGTGGGTAGAAAATCCAGAAATTTTACTCAAGAGTAAAAAATTACACAGGTAAAAGTGAAACGTACAGCATAGTAAAAATACTCCTAAAAGCACATTTTGTCAAAAAAAGTTACTCAAGTAAATGTAATTGAGGAAATGTAATTAGTTACTAACCAAATTTGATATGACAATAGTTACTGGACCAATTTATCATCCAGCAAAATGCTGTAGAATCGGGCCTAATTGAGAAAAAAACGCTGGTTTCAGGGGGGATTGTGTTATTATTGTTATTATGTGTGACAGTTTGTTGCATTCATGCAAACAGCAGCTCTTTATTAACACACCACTGCGAGTGTCTGAGAAAGGTCACCAAATATCAGGCACATCCCTGCGAAATGTCAGAAATGGAGAGCTGGTCACATCCATAAAAATAGAGAGGTTGGTCATGCGGGCCTCCCACCTCCTTCCCAGATGGGGAGTAGCACCGCAGCAGCAGCAGGGGCAGCAGCGGCAGCAGCAGCTGCAGCAGCAGCAGCAGCAGCAGCAGCTTCTTCCTATAAATACATTAGTCACCGAGCCAGAATCAGGGAATCTGTGGGTGTTGCTGGTGTGATGGATGAGTGCTGCTGTTGACATCATGCGTGAGTAATGAGTAACAATGACTTCTGGCAAAACATTTGATAACAAATCCAGGAAAATAATCTATTTCCATCTCAGCAAATAGCTCCTATCTTGAGCTGAGAATGACACAATGTGTGAATCTCACTGATAGGCATGTTTACTTTGCTCAAGTATAACTAGTTTACGTAAGAGCAATACTGTCATTATCCTTATTGTAGCTAATTTGCTGGGCTTTTTTTCTGTTTGTTTTCCTTAAGCTACATCTGAAAGTAGCATTGTTTGAAAAATTATTCCCTCTGGTTTTGGATGCTGCGCATCTGGAAGGATTTCTGCTCCAACTTCTTTACTTGTTGTCATGTTGCGTAACTGCGGGAACAAGGTGTTGTTTTTACAACTGGGAGCAGCTGGTTAGCATCTCAAATAATACCTAAAAGGAGGCTTCATGGACGCAGAGCAGAGAGAAGTAAGCTCAAGCCAGCATCATATCCCCTACTCCAACATCTCTGTGCATCTCTTTCTAACTGCAGCTAAACAGATATTTAAAGAGGAGCAGCAAAAGCAGATGAAGCTGGCTAGCATCATTTGCCAACAACTAAAAGAGTCAAGCTAAGCTAAACTAATCTAATCTTAAATAAACTAACTAAGCTATGCTAGCTATACTAAGCTAATGTAAACTGGTCTAAACTAAGCTAGGCAAAGCTAAACTAAATTAAGCTAATCTACACGAAACTAAGCAAAGCTAAACTTAGATAAACTAAGATAAACAGACACTCAAACAAGAGTTAGCTCATTTGCCAACAATTAAAGGTGTCAAGCTAAACTAATCTAAACTAAGCTAATCTAAACTAAGCTAACTAAACTAAGCTAATCTAAACTAATGTAAACTAAACTAATTCAAGCTAAACTAAACTAACAAAAGATAATCTAAATGAACCTATGCTAATCTAAAATAATCTAAACTAAACTAAAATAATCTGGCAGGCACTCAGTCAAGAATTAGCTCGTTTTCCAACAATTAAAGGTGTCAAACTAATCTAATCTAAACTAAACTAATGTAAAATTATATAAACTAAACTAATCTAAAATAAACTACACTAACCTAAGATAATCTAAAATAAACTAGTCTAAACCATGCTAATCTAATCCAAACTAAACTAAGCTAAACTGGCAGGCACTCAGCCAAGCATTAGTTTATTTTGATATTAAGCTGTGGTTCCTTAACTAGAAAGAAGCCGTAATGTCGACAGAATTGATCTAAAAAGTATCTTGTTTTCTTTACCTCGACTAATGTAAAGCTTTTACTCATTGTGAAGAGTTGGGTGAAAAGACAAGTAAATCTCTTGCTTTTCTCATCCACTTAAGCCTCCATTTATGAATGAATGAACTGGTTGATGGATGGATAGACCAATCTGCATGTGGAGGGACTGACCCTCATTTAAAGACCATAATCACAGGACCAAAGCCAGCTATCCCACCCCCAAAAAACAGAATAACTATCATTTGAGGTGGTTTGTATTTTCCTAGTAATGGAGAATAATTACATGTTTCTGAACATTGTTTTACTTTCAGAAGAGGCTGGTTTCATCCTCCGCTGCTGTTCACTGAACTGAACTGAACTTATTAGACATCAGCAGCAGAAGTGAAAAACCACAACAGGAAACCAACTTTACCAGATAGACTTCAACACTTCCTGTATTTGCAACATTATTCTAGCCTCTGTTCACACCCACCTCAGCGAAAATGCGACGCTGTGGTTGCAGTGATTGTTTAAAAAATGCCCACCTAAACCAGTTCTTGTTGACTTCATCTGCCAAGGTCTGATAAATGAAGAGAGATTGTCTGCTTTGATCTGGCTCTGTTTTGCATTTCACACAGGCAGAGATAAGAAACGTGCCCTGCAAAGCCTTCATGCTCTAATCCTCCCCAACAGTTATCAATTATTATGTCTCTGACTGCGAACATAATAACCTTCTGTTATCTGTCGCAAATGTAAATAATGATTTCCTCACTTATATTCACCATTCTAATCTCTAAATAAGTCCCCTCCCCTTTTTTAGAATAAATACAAAACATAGTAACAAATAAAAGCAAACAACTGATAAGAAGTTTAGTGAAAATCAATAATTTACATGTTTTAGTAGGATATACTATGTAGGAAAAAATAAAACGTTATGTTGGTGAATGCTAATATGCTGTTTAGACAATGTACAGATTTGTCTTTACACAGTTTTAAAGCTAGTTTAAACCACTTCCCATTTTAGTTTTCACATTGAATAAAACTTCCTCTCATGGTTAATTTTCCTACAGTTTCTCATGTAAAATTACATGAAAAACAGCAGTAGTTTTCCAAAGACATCCTTGTTGATTGTAGCATGCTAATATTAGCATTTTGCTGCTGTGGTTTTAAACCTCTTCCAGTTGGTTTAGTTTCTGGTATTTTTCCACAAAGAAACTGTTTCAGTAACACTTTATTTACGTCAGTGATTACATTAGAGAGACAACTGAACTCTTATTTCAGTATTTATCACAGAGTCATGAGCAAGAGAGCTTCTCCATAT